AAAAAAAAAAAAAAAAAAAAAAAAAAAAAAAAAAAGAGATCTACAGAGCGTCAATCTGTATTTATCTCGTTATATTCAAATAGCTTTAATTATAAATAGATTTAACTACAAACTACAGACGAGATGTGCAATAAATCAAACTTCTTCTATAAACGCGGCAATTCAATAATTATTGCTCTTTAAACTGAAACACGCGAGAAACGTAATTGCGATTCTTTTTATGTTACGTGTGAAATTATACTTACCGCGTGTCATAATTGTGCACATAACATAATGCTAATTCGCGGCCTTTAATTACGATCTCGTTATGTGTCGCGCATCTTATACAGATCCGACAAAAGTGAAGATAAAAACAAAAAGGGAGAGCGACCTATGCGAAGGACGTTTCGTAAAGTTGCGCGCGCATCCCTTAGGGTCACTGTCACAATATAGATACGATGCAGCCTGTGGAAGAGATTCAGTGCCCGCCGAGGAGCCGGCCTGTAAGCTTATACGACAATTACAAGGTACAATTTATCCACCATAACTAGTTTTGCTTTTTTCTGTATTTCTGTGGAAGAAGATTTCGTACATCTGCAACTGACTCGTTTGTTATCGATCGGAGATTGATTTCTTCGGATTTTTTAATTTGTGTATTATCTTCCTTTTTTTATAAACAAGAAATGTCGACGCGTTGTCTATCGTCTATTGTTCTTTTTTTTCAATTTTTTATTTTAATTTATTGCAAATTAATTTTCATTGCAAATTTCATTGAAATTCACGACAATCCATAATGCAACTCTCCCGCCAAAAGTTTCGGAGCTTCTACAGTTCTCGCGAGTATTAGCAAAAGAAAATATTTACCAATTAATATGATCCTTGTTTCAGACCCCAGACGTGATGTCGTCGAACACACCTCCCCCGGGATCGCTCTTCGCCAGCCCGAACATGATCGGCGCGATGTCTTACATCCGCGACTGCAACGGTACATCCAATGTTAATCAAAGCAATAATAACAACAATATTAGCAACAACAATAATAGAGTTACTAGCGCTGTCAGCACGGGCAATGTGTCAAAGATTCACACTGCCAAGGTTAAAAGTGAGTTGAAAAATTAAATTTTTTTAGTATAAATTTGCTTTATTATCTCGAGATTGTGCTTTTTCATTGTGTCATTCACTATGTTTTAATCATTGTTCAAGATCAAACTGTCATGCTATTTCGTAAATTAGCATTTAATGACTTTTTTACGAGCTTGTTTATTTATTAGCAATTAAGACTCTTTACACACACGCGAACATGTGAGTGATTTATTATAATCATTTTTATGTAAATTAAAATGTTGATTTTCTGAATAATATATATCGCTAAAATGTTTACCGAGAAAAAATCCAATCTATTTTTTTTTTTTTAAATTGACGTAAGAATTACAGAAAAAAGAAGGACACGGTATTAATAAATTAAATTGTCTATCTCTCGTGCGCTTTGTTTTAATCGTTCAAGTCAAGTTGACCTGTTTGTTCCACCTCAGATGTTTTCATTGTGCGGAACCTTATCGTTCTGAATTTTCATGTGAATTTCGCGAAACACACACATGCCGGTGAAATATTGAATTTTTTTTTATCACAAAAAAAAGTAACAGACGTACGATGCGGGAAAAATATTTACACCTGAGAGTAATTCTACCGAACATTTTACTGCTGACAGGTGCGGTGTCGACTGGTAACATCGAACGAACCGGTCGCGGAGATAATAAAGAGAAGGAGTTCGGTCGTGCGCCATCGATGGCCAACTGCTTGTCAACCACAGTTCCTGTCAATTTGGCAGCCTGTCAAATAGCCGGACGACATACACCCACAAGAAATTCCCTGAGGCACAGCAGGATGATCGTAATGCATCGGACCGGCCACTGTGAGTTATTGTGACGCTTTTTTACGTTTCAAAAAACTCCTTTTTATTTCGTTCTTGTTGTCACGAAAAAGAATTTGTTTCTGATGAAGTAGTTGGGATAAAAATTGAAAAAAATTGTGTGCAAATCCGTTTTGAGCAACGCAATTAGACATTTGACCGCGGTCGATTTACGATTACTCTCGATTATTTAAATGCGACACGCTTTTTTTTGTTTTTTTTTTTGTCTTTCTTTCAGTTACCATGAACACACGTAGAATCACCAAAAAAGTTACATTATCCAAAGGCAAGTATTTTTCTAAACATGCTTTTAAGAATATGCGCATAAATCAGCGAAGAATCGATGAGAAAAAACGCAACAACCTCTTTTTGCGTTTTCTTCTCAATGAAACATATATATATATATATATGTACGTACGAGCATATATGATTATTTGATTTTTACGGCGATATATATCCACGATTGATTTCTCTCGCGAGAGAATCTTGCTTACCGGGTGAATGGAATGCAACCGGGCCGGTGTAGCTTGATTTTTTCGATTTCTTCCGATAATATAAGCTTCTCTCGCGCGCGACACATTATAACCGCGACTGTATAATTTTGCGTTAACGAGCGCACGAATTGTTGTTCCTTGTTAATGGGCCGGTCGCCCGACAGGACCCGAGAGAGGTTGCTGCCAAGGCAGACAGGAAGATTACAATTAGCGTTCACCGTGAACGCAGGAAAGTGCAGCGCGGTTCTTTATCATTGCGGTAATTAGATAGCGTAAAATGCGCGCGGTATATAAATGGCAGTTATAATGAAAAGCGCTAGAAGTGATGAAAATACACACGACAACACCGGTGCAATGACGGATGTTTTTTGTCCGTGGAATAATGCACTCGTAAAAAACAAAAAAAACAAATACCGTATTGTTACGATGTAAACTTCCTTTCTATCAAAGATAAAACGAATAAGATAAATAAAAAGAGATAAAATTTCAAAAATATTTTCTTTGAACAAACAATAGTATAATAGTATAAAACAACAACAATGTGAAGTTTAAACGGTCAATAAAGATCTAATGCCGGATGTTCGTGCGAAATATATATATATATATATATATTTTTTTTTTTTTGTAAATTTTACACACTTGAATTTTTAATTGAAATTCGTAAGTTCGTATAGGATGTTATATTTGCATCTCGTGTATAACAATTGCCCGTATACCCTCTCTCCCCGTGTCTAATTGTAAAATATTGCGAAAAAATCATCTCGGCCACGAGTCGAACCTGGAATTTCTCGCTTTCCGTGCGATCGCCTTTCTAATTCGGCCAACGAGACACTTGATGTTTCTCTCTTAATCTTCGCGTTGTTAATTTTACAATCTCAAGAGTTTCAATTCTTTGTTAAGTAAAACAATAATATGTTGTTTTTTGTAAAAAAAAAAGAGACTTATTTTTTTTCCTGAAAAAGGTACTCGCCTGCGCGTATATTCCATCGAGTTTAAAACGTTTCTTGCTTCGCTGCCCACCGCACGTACGGACTTTAAAGTGGATGCACATGGTTCTCCGCAGATAGCGGAAGTACCGGACCGGAAACATATCGCGTGCTCCTTTTTGGTACGCGTTCGAAATGCGTTTGTGTGAGCAAGTACAAAGAAATTTATCGTTAAGTTTTAATTGCCTTATTTCGCACCGCAATTAACTCTTACTCGTTATTATTATTATTATTATTGCGTTATACTTGGAAAATTCTAACAATTGTTTTTGAGAAAATCATTTCATGAGAAATAATAATTCAAATTATACAAAAGTGGAAATAACTCAATTATGTTTAAACATCTAGACGAAGGAAAAAAAATAACAATAAATAAAAATCGCGCCATCCGCTATATATTTCTACTACTGCTGATATTCAAATTCTACTTAAAAGCAAAAAAACAAAAATGATGTGTTACGTCTGCGCGAAGTAACTGCCGTTTCTTCGCGAGGGAAATACTACCGACACGTGCGTACGCACGAAGGGACGGAATTGATGAAATGCGTACGTACCGTGATTCCGCTTCGCTCTTCAACGGTCGTTCACGTATATTCACCATGGTCCTGACTCTATTTCGGGACCGGGAGGGATAAAACTGGCAGATCGACCCCGCTATTCTTATGCCCAATTGTCGGCGTCCTTACGTCGCGTAATTGTAGTCCGTGTTCATCTTGATGAAAAAGACGGACGCACTGTTTTGGCGCCGTTTTCGTTGGATCGAAAACGTTTGTAGAACTTATAAACAATTTTACGACGAGATTTTTTTCAGACAGATTCACATATTCGCTTGTTAATCAATTTGCAGAAGATCTCGACGCGTTTCGCATAAACAATTGTCTTTTTTCTTAATCTCATGTTAATTAATATAAAGGTTTTACTTGCGTATTAGAAACTAAATAATTCATTTGACGAATTCGAGCACACATTTAATGACCGCTGATCGGCGCACAAAGGGCAATTACTCAATTATTCCCGGAGACGTTTCCTTGCGCAAGCTACATCATTAGCATTATTCACGCATCGGGGTCAGCAAATAATGAAAACGTACCACCCAGTATATTTCCATGTTATGTGTGTAGTACGTGGGTCGTATACTTTGTGGCGAATTCGTCGGCCCGTAACGACACAACGTATCAACGAAGACTGCGTTGAACATTGTTATCTCTTTGCCGTAACGTATGCGTTACACGTAGAGCGAGGTCGTTCACGTGGTCAGTGTGTTCGATACAATCGATACGTGACGCATACAAAAGATAAATTGCAAATGTTTGTAAAGTTTGTTAAAATCACAAATAAATAACCAGTTGTAACTTAGTTTACATTAACGCGATTGATGGAACCGAATCTATTTTGCCACTTGTGCGCTTTACCATTTTAATTAAAAACAAAATCTTCATAATTTAAATAAAATCAAGAAATAGAGCTATCGTAAAAAATAACCGCGCGTTCGTTTTGCGTTCGCTTTGAATGAAAAATAGTCCTCACTAATTTTGTGTGTGTGTGTGTGTATGTGTGTATGTGTACGTGTGTAATAATGGTTAGAGGTGGGCGCGTTTCCTGCTTTAACACGACAAGGACACAACGTTCAATCACCTGGTTGAGAGATGCCTTGTAAGGAGGGACGGTGACGACGCCGTGCTGTAAAATCTCCTTTCTTTTCTTTATGCGCGTTTCTTGATACCGCGGGATATCGGTCGTCCGTTTTACGCCACGAAGGAAATGTGTGTCGTAGCAAACAGCATGAAAATGTCCGGTTACCAGTAAAGTGGAATTACTTAATAGGCGACCGATCGCCTCTGGATACCTGACTGTCTACGGCTCGAGAGATCTCGCAAGATCGTTCACAGCAGATGCAACGTAAAGTTGCATTGTAAAATTATCAACTATCGTGGATTACTATTCTTTTGAGAATAGTTTCATACGACTGTAAGAAAGGATGTGAATCACGATGGGAAACAAAGGAACGATTCACTTTCCTTCTAGATTTATGACTTGTTTTATGATCGAGTTATTAGGTGTGTTGTTCGAGTATTTTAACAGAAAATATTTATAACTTTTTGATAAAAGCACTGTAAATCGAAGTTGTTTCTACAATTTTTATATTGTAAAAATAAAAATTAGAAGCTATGTAAATATATTTTTGCTATAAAATTTGAAGCTATCATAAATATATTTACATAAATTCTGCATCAAGCTATTATAAATATATTTACATAAATTCTGCATCAATCTTAACAAAACCAAAAAAAATGACTTTACTTTTAGGTCCGGAAAAGTTTATACCTCCCTTGGTCTATTATCGACGAATAGCTCTATGTCTAGCGACGTTGAAAACTATTCTCGGTATTGCGGTGATTTCTCTATCGTTATGGTTGTTGCTTTGGGCGCCACATCTCCCTGTCGAATATAATCCGTACTGGAGCGGAATATCTGTAAGTGTCATAAGTAATAGTGTTACACTATAAATTTATTAATCTTTAATATTATTGTCTTCTTGTGTTTATTTATTTAATAATTCTCTTACATATATTTTTAATATCTTTAGCTCTTACTATCAGGAAGCTTCGGAATTTGTCTGCTGTGTTGTTTTAAAAAAGAATATCCAAATATGTCACCTGGATATTGTCTTTCATGTATCAAGGTAAGAATTTTATGTGAATCATCACATAGATTAAAACAATCTCACAGCTGACTCATTTAGTAATCAACTTTTTTTTTTCAATTTCTCGTATTGTTAAGATATATTATCTAGTGTCCGACCGAAGATTCGGTTTTGGTTTCGGTTTCGGCCAGTTTCGACGCAAAATTGGAGTTTCGTTTTAGTTTCGGTTTTGGCAGCGAACCGGCCGAAACTACTACCAAAACCGAAACTTTGTTCGTGTTCGTGAGTTGTCGACTTGTCGCGCTAAATAATAACCAAAGGTTAGATAGAAGTTATTTCGTTTTATAGATAAAAGAAAAAGTTTGTTTTTGTTTACTTAATCTTGTTAAGTACAAAGTTTTTTTTTAACTATCTTTTGTTGGCAACTTTATAATTATTATTATGATAATGCGTAATTATATGCCTTTGAATTAATAATAGGTACTTGACATGTTGATATTTTTTGTTACAAACTCAAGTTTTAATTTATTTTTATAACTAAAACTTTGACTGTCAAAGAGACTGTAATAATAATTGTGTGATATTAGTACAGTACTGATATTGTGATAATAAAAACTGCATTAATCAATGATTTTCTTTCTGTGTGAATTACACACCTCACCTCACATACAGAAGAACGTTTGTGGTACTTTTTTTTGTTGATTGTCTAAGAGCAATAAAGCTATTTGTTTATCGAATAAGGGCTTTTTTAAACACATACGCACCTGCAGCTAGCTAAACTTAACAGAAACAGGCTCAAACTAAAAAACTGTAATAAGGAATTACTATAAAAGGAAGTTTCGGTTTCGGTTTCGGTTTCGGCCGAAACTGAGACAGAAACCGAAATTCGGTTTCGGTTTCGGTTTCGGTTGTAAAAACTAGTTTCGGTCGGACACTAATATTATCTACATAACAAGTAATTTTCATGTAATTTTCTAACATTCTCTATTTAAATATAAAAATATAATACACTATATTAATAAATATTTTATTATATAACACTTTTTTGCGTTACTTGTGATATCTTTAAACGTTGAATTGTGAAAAAGAATTCTGCTTTTCACTTGAAAGAATTTTCTTTCACTGAGACTTTCTCTCTCTCTTTCTCTCTCTCTCTCTCTCTCTCTCTCTCTTTCTCTCTCTCTCTCTCTCTTTTTCTTGTGTGTACAATTTTTTTGACACACTAATGACATAAAGATACATACACATGCACACACATATTGTGTCATTATCTCATCTCTCGCTTGTTTTCTTGTGTTAAACAGGTGTTTAGCGTATTTCTAACGGTTGTAGCAACCATTGCGTGCGGAAGCGCGTTCATATTCTCTGTTGCGCATTTTTCGCGTCTCAAGATATTGGAATGCACTCCGGCACAGGTACCAAATGCCACGTGCATATGCAGGCCACGTGACGAGCCGTCTGATTCACTCAAAGGTGCAATCAGGTATGCCATAAAATCGAGCGCTGTCGCATAACATTCTTTGAAGCGTCGTAAAAAAGACACTTTGAAGAATCGTAGGAAGTTATAACGTCAATTTTTCTTCGCAACAATAGTGTATTGTTCTGACGTATACATAAAGTTTTAAAGTGTAAAAACATGCTTTTTATAAATATTTTGAGTTCTGAAGAATTTATGGTAATTATTTATATATGTTATTAAGGACATTATTTTGAACAACTTTTCCTTATGTTACCGCCGCTCGGCTTTAGTTTTCGACTTATAAACAAAAGAAGTTTTATAATTGAATACTTGTTTTCCACCATTGTGTCGATTTCTGAAGTAAATATTTGGATTTTATCACACATTATCGCACACGTGTAGACAATGAGGTGGTGAAGAAGATGGATGCGGAGCTTCTCCTTCAACTATTTGCGTGCGATAATGTATGATGTAAACAAAACTGTTTAGTTGGCAAATTGACTTGGTATCAAAAACGAGGATTTATTGTAAATTTATTTCTTATCTAAAGCAAACTATTACATTACACAATCTATTCAACAAGATTTCGTCAATTAATGTTGTAAACGCGTAGGCAGGTGGGGCTCCGCCCCCCCCCCTGCTCCCCCTTTGAGGAAAAATAGGAAATGACTTCCGATTACATGTCGCTTCATGTCAATAGTATATACGTGGTTTTTAACGACACTTAATCAGAAGTCGTTTCCTCGAGGGGGGAGGAGAAGGGACTCCACCTGGAGGAACGCAGCCCCCCTTGCCTACACGTGTCATACAAAGAACATATTAACTTGAGAAATCGACACAATGTGTTGGAAAATTAGTATTCAATTACTTCTTTTGTTAACAACTCGAAAACTAAAGCCAAGCGGCGGTAACATGTATAGGGAAAAAAGTTGTTCAGAACGACGTTCTTAACAACATATTTCAAGCTCATTGAAATCGGTGAGAAAGTCCGCTTTCTAAATAATTACCGAATTTATTTTACTCATATGTTTTTTGTTTATCATATTATTATCCATTGTATAAATGTAATAACAAATGTAAAATATATTGTATGCACTAATATAAAATAATTTGTATGTTCTATTAGATATTTGGACCTTAATTGTTCCGAAGTAGAAAATACTCTGAAGCTTCTTGTTATCATCTCGTTTGCTCTGAATGGATTAGGCACCGTGCTGGCGGGATTGTATACTTATCTTCATTGGAAGACGAGACACAAACGACCAAAATATATGCAAGTGAGGACCAACAGTAATTCCGCAAAAAATACCTGTAGACCAATCTACAAAACAAATCTCGAGGAAACGCGGGAACGATGACGCTTGCGAACTATAACTGAAGTCATTTTCCGCACAATCATTGAATTAATTAACAATTTTACACGAACGAAGAAACACTCTTTCAGATAAATTTTAACTTTTAAAAATTTGTAATAAATTATATATAAATGGTAAAACAAATTCTTTTACACATGATCGAATATCGCGCGAAAATGAAAAAAATTATGTAAGTATATGCAATATAAAATATTATTCTTCAAATATATTTCACACACTATTTAAATAATCAAACAACAAGCCGTGAAGGCTTAATTAGTGCTCATTATTTTTTTTTATATAGAGACTCAGTTTTTAAACTAATAAATATATATTCGGTCATTGGAGCCATTCCTCCTCGGCCAGGAGTCGAACCTGGAATCTCCGGCTTTCCGTGCCGTCGCCTTTCCTATTCGGCAACCGAGGCACTTGGAGTTTTTCTCGCAATATTCATATATATATATATTTGAACAACGCCATCTTCCTCCAGCGTGAACCAATGACCGAATATATATTTATTAGTTTAGAAACTACAGAGCCGGAATAGATTCTTTAATTGTAGACTCAGTTTTGTTAAATGTAGAGACGCAGTGTTTGTTAAATTGCAATGTATGTATTTAATGTGTGTATGTTGTATGACAGTGCGTTTGTTTTTTACCGTATAAGATAAATCACTTATTTATCTTTTTATGTAACAGGAAAAAATTGACTATATAAGCATAATTACAGTATTCCATTGCATATTGAAAAACTGAAAAAAATTTAATTACTTTTTATTTTTTATATGTAACATTAAAATAAAATGACACATTTAATAAACTTGTGATACATTTATATGTGAAATAAAAATATGGCAATTTGATACTTAAATTCTGAACTACTTATTCTATCAATTTTATTTTTTTATCGTTATTCTTGAGCTTGACGCAGCAAGCTGAAAGACGAGTACGACATCTTAAGTAACTGTATAAAAAAAATGAGAGTATAATTAAAGTTATTGCAAATAGTTTTGCGATATATTTATTTTAAAAATTAGTTTTAAATTTAATTAATTAATTAAGATGTACTCACAACTACAAACGAGTCAAGATTCATCGTAATGATGTAAGCGCTACTAAATTCGATGGGAAACATCGAACGTTTCATAATGATGAGAAAACTTCTCTTGTTGCTAACGTCAAGTGTCAGCCATTCTACGTTATAAATACTATTCGTCATTTCAACACTCTATAAAACCGAACAAAAATATTGCACATGTTTTAACAGAAATAACGTATTTATATTTATATATTAATTATTTTATTTTGATTAATTAAAATTCTGTCGTGTAACTATAGCAGAAAGTCAGAAGCATATACTTTTAATTTGATTTCATTTCCAAACCAACAATAGATGAAAATCTGAATTAGCATGCAGCCTGTATATAACATTAATGGAATGATTTGCACGTAATTTTTTACCATAGTCATTCGATACAAATTGGAACATGTCACCAACATGCTTACTGTGAATTGAACAGAAATTATTTTTGAAAACATTCTGTTCATCGTATACGCGAATCTATAATAGAGAGAAAGAGACAAGTTTTAACGGCAAAAGAAACAACAACGTATAAATCAAAAGTGGATTCAAAGAAAAAAGTGAAAAAAAAAAGATCAAAATAAGAGACCTAACTGAAACACGAGATTATGATGACGTATACAGTCACGTAGGACGTCTTGATTCTGCGCAATTTTTGTCAACCTGTATTCCAGTATCTCGAATTGACAACACGTATGCAACAACAGTCCGAAAATCAGGCTTTCGCAAGCGACGTTAACTAAGCCGGACATTGACATGCCGATCATCTGATTAATGTAAACAAGAGTAAATCTAAAAGGGGATGAATAATCGAACGGCACCCATGCTTTGTATGTCAAGTTTCCTTTCATGAAGTCCATGAAAACAGACGACAAAAATACTGAAACAACTCCGATACCCACGAAAGTCAAGTAACGTAACGTATTGATCCTACAAATTTATCAGAAATATTTCCAAATTTGATATTAATTGATTTAAAAAATATTTTGTTTACACAGTAAAATTTCCCAGATAGCCAACTGAGTGCAAGTTGTTGGCAACTTGCCACAAATATTGCTCATATGTTTTCAGCAATGTAACAAAAGGATGTATTCTCTTTTCAGTATGTTCTTGCCAGCAACAGTTTTCAAAATATAATAACAGCAAGTTTCCAACAACTCATCTCGGCAATAAACTTATATTATTTTTCTCAACTTGCGAATAAAAATTACTGCTCACATATTGCTGACTCACTTGTCATAAATACCGGGTAAAAAATTTTTCATATATACTTATACACAAATTAAAATAATTATATCTAATTATGCAAATTTATATGCCGAATATGTCCATACAATTTTATACACGGACAATTTCTTTTTTTAAGAGAATGGCTTCAGAGATATTCCATATCAAATCACAAAATCTATTAGTATCTATTAGTATCATGTTAGATACAAAAAAAGTATATAAAACTATATTTTTATTATATTTTAAAAAAATTTTTGATATATAATCATATATATTTACACACAAATTAAACTTATTATATCTAATTATGCAAATTTATATATCGAATATGTCCACACAATTTTATACATGGAAAATTGTTTACCGGGCATTGGCTACAACAATTGATAATAAAACTCAGCATATTGATACTGAATTGACAAAAACATTTTCGTTGCACTAAATAAAAACAACACAACAGCAATTGGCGAGCAACTTAATCTATACAATGATTTGCTTTATATTGAGTTTTCACATTTGGCTATCTGGGTTATATACACTTAAAGTCAGCGTGTGCGTAAAACAAAATGCGTTGATAATATTTTGACAATATACTTACTGTATTCTTTTCTCGAACTTGTCTCGAATTGTTACTTCATCCGATACGGATGGTTTAAATGGCCTGTCAGTGAGTACGCTGATTATCATTCTGACAGTTTTACGATCCGTCCAAATACAAACTTGTTTATAACCCGCGACGAACACGGTCAACATCATGTACATGGAGTCGGTGAGTTCGTCAGAGTTGTCGACATTGAGTACGATGTTCATAAATTGCGATATTATAAATAAATAAAACGAGGAGATCAAAAACAGCGCGTAAATTTTGTAAATTATATGTTTATACAACGACGACCATGACGGTGGTTGCCAGAATCCGGCTATTGTGCAGATTACAAGTGTAAATTTCAGTATGCTCATCTTAAATATCGTATTGCATTCCGGGTATTCTATTTCACACTTATGCGCCGAGTGTGGTATCAAAGCTACTTAGAACAATCTTTGTCGCGAATAAAACGAAGAAAATGTACAAAAGCAAAAAAAACATATAAATACAAAAGGTTGGCCGAAATTATTTATGAAAGCTAATCTATAGCCTCTCACGACTCTACACTGTCCTATCTACTGAAACCCTTTTATATTCATATATCTTTAGTATTCATTATCGTAATAACTGACTTGCGACGGTGCTCTCAGAAGAATATTTTCATAAATAAAGACGGAATGTATACACATGTCATATATTCTTTAGTAAAAAAAAAAAAGAATTGCTTATTGCTCGTTTATTTTTACAGAAATAAAGGAATAAAAAGACAAATAAAATATTCGGAGAAAAAAATTCTTCACTTTTTCGAATAAAAATGTAAGAGTATCATATTATTTCCCTCGTATGTATATCTACTTTATATTAAATAAAGAAGTTTAAGTTTTAATGTTTTCTTGTATACACAATATATCTCTCTTTATAAAGAATTTAGTTAGAAGAATACGTGCAATTGTGATTTCTGGAATATTATGGCTGTGTAATTTTTACTTGCATAAAATTTTAAAACGTTATTTTCCGTTACATTATTACGCAATAGTACCTTTAGTACGTATATTTGTTGTGAACGGTTCGGCGTTTGTATGCTAGAAAATATTTTTCAAATTTTCTGTTTTATTTTTTTCAACTTTATTTCTACATATCAATTTCTATATGTTCCGTAATTTCGTTTCAACAAGATAAATGTGAGTAAAAACTTTTTGTTCGTTAAATCAGACTAATTATTCTTGCGTTTGATGTAGAACGTTATACATCGAATATGACATTTTAAGTAACTGCAAGAAAGTTTGGATGCATACATAAAAGTGTTTGTGTAAATAAAGTACTCGAAGAAATTTCTATCGCTTTGATACTTACACTTACAAACGACTCGAGATTCAGCGTAAGTATGTATACACTACTAAATTCAATGGGAGTTAACGAGCGTTTCATAATGATTAGAAGATTTCTCTTGTTGTTATTACTAAGCGTTGGCCATTCCATATTATAAATACCACTCATCAAGTGTACACTCTATAAATACAAATTATTGCTTGTTACATAAAATAAACAAATTTGATATATGTTTATTTTAAATGATGAAATCTGTTCCTTTTTTCTTTGTTTTTCATTATCTAATTATTTAAATATACTTTATGTATTTTAGACTAACTTTTAACTTGACTTCGTTTCCAAACCAGCAGTAAATGAAAATTTGCGTCAATATCGCACTCGTATATACCAATAATGAGATAATGGTCGCAAAATCCGTTGCCATCGCTATTCGATACATGTTTGAACACACTACCAACATGCTCACTGCAAACTGGAGGGCGATTATTTTTGCAAACATGTTATTCACTGTGCACGCATATCTGTAAATAAACGGAACATTGATTTCTGAGCGAATAGAAAAAATTGTAATTTTTTTTATATAAAAACTTGAAGTTTTATTTAAATAATAAATATTAAATATATATATATATATATATAAAGAGAGAGAGATGGAAAGAACATGTAAAACACAAATTTAAATTGATAAATCTAAGAAAATAAGAAACAATCTTGTGTGCGATACTTGTTAGCCAATGTTCAAATGTGTGATACTTAAAACAATTAATGAGATTACTCGAAATATTATTTTCCATGCAGTCCACAGCTTTGGAATGGCAAACTTGCGTTAAAAGAACTAACTCAAAAATAAGATTATGGTGACGAATACAATCGGGTAAAATATTTTCACTATGCGTCAATTTTGTCAATCGATACTCCAAAATTTCGAGCTGACAGCAGATATGCAGCAACAGTCCGCTAATTACGCTCTCACAAGCGACGTTCACTATACCGGAAGTTGCCATGCCTACTAATTGGTAAGAGTATATAAGAAAGTATACAACGAAATTCGAATAATCGAACGGAATCCATGCTTTGTATGTCAAGTTTCTTTTCTTGAATTCCAGAAAAACAGACGTTGCAATCACCGATATGATTGCACCTAGAACGATAATCAAATATCGCAACGTGCTCCTTCTGTAACATACATTTAAAGTACTTAGAAAAGAAAATCAAATGTCTGAATCATGTTATCGGACAATTATCGTTTTTTTCGTCATTGTTAAAAAAATTGCAATTGATCGCAAAATTCCAAATCACTTACCGGATCAGTCTTTCAAATTTTTGTTGGATTATTTCTTCCCGCGCTTCACACGGTGCAAAAGGTTTTTTTTCAAGCACATTAATTATCATCATGACATTTTTGCGATCTATCCACATGTAAACTTGCTTGTAACCTGCGACGAATACGGTTAACATCATGTATAAAGAATCGATGAACTCGTCAGAATTCTCAACGTTCAGCACGATGTTCATAAATTGAGACGTTGAAAATAAATATAACGAGGAAACGAGAAACAGCGAGTACGTTTTGTAAATTATGTGTTTATATATTGCAGTCCACGAAGACGGTTGCCAACATCCGGCAAACGCGCAGATTAGAAGTGTAAACTTTAGCACGTGCATTTTTTTTAACATTGTCTGATTTGCTTTTTTTTTATACGTATCAATTACTGTCGACACGTTACATTATTGTATATACGCTGTTTATAACAATCGAAACCTTACTTCTCTTAACGATAGAAATTATATGAGAGAGGTAAAAGTAAATCGATATCTCAGTCAGTCAATATAAATTCGCGCGAGTTTTTTATATTGAAATTTGTGCGCAAAACCGTCCGAATACATTCAACAGACACACTTTTTTTTCACTTTCATCAAAAGTAATTTCAATAGTTACGCGTACAAAATGCTATTATGTAAATAGAAACGTCTTCTAATCCTTATTGCCTTTTACCAAATGATAAATCGAAGTAAAAGAACGAAATACAAATGTCTGTAGCCTTGCGATGCAATTTTCCAAGTAGCAGTACACTATCGCAATCCCTCTTCATATCTACGTCTGTCATTATCGTAATATCCACGCATCAAGTCAACAGTTTCTTGCGAAATAATACTTTTATGAGTTTCATAAATAATATACTTTTGCGATGGCAGTAAGATACGATCCCACTGGGAGATTACATCATATAGTTTTTTTTTTTTTTTTTTTCACTTTTTTTCATCGAGATAATAAAATACACGAGAAAAAAAGAATATACGTATCTCTTGAAATTTTGTCAACAACGATTATTGATTCATTGTTTCTGCGAGTGCTTTGTTATTATTTTCCTCATATTCTTATTATTAATATAACATATTTAATATCTGCAATGTTATGCAACGAATATGTCAGAGATCATTGGAATAATATTAGCTATATGACTCACGTCTGTGCAGTCCAATATGTATGTAATAACGTGCATACCTTTTTTCTTCTAATATATAAATAAATAAGGTAAGTAAAAACAAACGTTAATTCTCTAAAAAAAATAAAAAACTTTAATTTTCTAAAAAAATAAAAATCGACAACAACATGAAATATAGCAAACTTTTTCTTCAGTGGATTTACTCGTGCATACAACTTTGTCATATTAATTGTACAGTTGATAAAATAAAACATTTGTGTAAATTTTTATTTTCTTGAAATTCTACGTACAATTACCGAAATAATCGTTTGTTATCGTCGATCACATTATGCTATACGAGGTAGTTTCCATCATTGAGTTACGTTACTACATTTGTTGTTCACGTATCTCGTTTACGTGTATTTTAACACGTTGTAAATCGAGTAGGACGTCTTAAGCAGCTGTAAACAATCACAGACATAATTACCACGTTTATTTAACATATTCTTGTTTTTTCGTTTGTGTACTTGTAACTGATACTGACAGACATAAATGATTCAAGATTCAATGTAATGATAATAGCGCTATTAAATTCAATAGGAGTACTCGTACGTCTCATAATTAGCACAAGATCTTTTTTGCTGTTGTTGTTTAGTTTTTGCCATTCCAGCTTGTATATATTACTAGCCAGTTCAAGACTCTGTAATATAACGAGGAATTTTTTTGTATTTTATACCATAAGCTTAAATAACATCGGAATTCAATATCAAAATAATATTCTAATAATTTTCGAAAAAGTACTTATTGAAGTTATTACAATTATTAAATTTATGTATTTGACAAAAAAAAACACATACTTTTAACTTGAGTTCGTTCCCAAACCAACAATATAAGAAGATTTGGGATAGCATGCAAGCTGTATACAGAACTATTATAAAAAGACTCGAGTTGAGAGATGTGGTAGCCAGTTTGTACAAGTTGGCGCATACTACCAGCATGCTTACTGCAAATTGAAAAGCGATTAAATGCGCAAACCTGATATTTACTTTATGCGCATATCTGGAAAACAAATAAATACAATATAAATTTTCATTACACATATACATCGATATTTTTCTAATAAATTTAGAAAAAAAAAAATATTTATACAAACAGAAAAATATTTTGTGCGCGCGTGATTTTTAACTTTTTGAAGTAAACGAAAATTATTGTTTCAAAAACTAACTCATATATACGGTCGTGGTGACGTACGCAATCACGAAGAATATATTGCCCTTTTGAAAATTTCGTTAATCGATACTCCAAAATCTCGAGCTGGCAACAAATTTGTTGCATAAGTCCGGATACTAAGAGATCACAAGCGACATTCGCAGCCGCGACGATTGACACGCCTAACATTTGATGAGTAAACACGAGAAAAAATATACCAGGAGACGTGTAGTCAAACGGCAGCCATGCTCTATACGTCAGGTTTCGTTTCGTGAAATTCGTGAAGTAAGCATTCACAATTATTCCCACGACCGTTATCTGAACGAGCATGTAATACCACATCGCATATTTCCTATAAAATTATACCCTTCAAAAATCTAATAAAAGAATTCTTTTTTTTTTTTTGTTATTTATTTATCAATATTATATGAACATATATAATCGTCGCGACAATTTTCTAGTTGAAATTGTTTGTTACACTCTCTAAAATTTAATTTTACTAAACAAAAAGTAACAAATGCACTTATGACCGATTAATCCAAAAGTAAGATACTTACTTTGTCAATTTAGTATATTTTTGTTGTATTATTGTTTCATATGATTCTAATGATCTGAAAAGTTTTTCCGCGAAGATATCGATTACTGATCTTATATTTTTGGCGGTTATCCACATGCTAATTAATTTATAATTTCCGATAAGTACCGCCAACGTCATGTACATGGTGTCACTATATTCGTTGGATTTATCAATGTTCAGTATAATGTTTATTAATTGGGATGTCATCAGTGTGAATATTACGGATATCAGTAATAATCTATGAACGGCGTATATTCTTTGTTTCTTTGACGACGTCCACGAAAGCGGTTGCACGCATCCCGCGATCGCGCAGAGCGTAAGTGTAAATTTCAGCGGGTGCGTGTTTCTCATCTTGTATACGTACGCGTGTAGGAAAGATTATTATTTATAAGATCATTGAGTTAAAATTTTAGTAAATTTTACAAGTTACAGCGAACGTCGGAGCGGCAAGATTTATTTTCACAGGACTTTAGCCCGAGAGCGATGTGACAGTCGTCCTGTCTATGAGAGAAGAAAATTTACTGTATGCTGTCAACATACCTTTTTGAAGGAGATAGATCTCATCGCATATTTTAACTACAAAACAAACAAACGACACATTGCTAAAAAAACCAACTCACAAAACAAATATCCGGAGACCTCATTAGACGTTCACTAGAAATCGCGTAAAAAATCGTCTAATGAGATCTCATTTAACGAGATTTTGTGTGTAGGAAGGGAAATGCAATAAGAAACTTGGAAATTCAATTAATTCTGCTCCGACATAAAAACAATATTTGAGGAGATTTCACAAATTGAATATATAATTAGTTAGAATATATTTTTGTACGTCATTTCTATTTAATATATTATATTATTATATGGTATATTTTTAATGGTACAGTAATAATGTTATATTATATGACAATTTACTTGTTTGCTTTATACATATTTTTATTATTAATGTCAAATTTTGTGTCGCGCGATTTGTGGTGTACGTATGTAGTATACCAAAATTTTTTATTGCACACATTTTTGTTTTTAGTGTTGTTAACTTTAAATATCTGCTGACACAAAACTACTTTTAAACGTCGCTTGTTACACATTCAGGTAAAATATATATTTAAGAAAATTGTATATCTCTGAACTGTAGATGTACGTTATACGTACTATTAGATAATTTATATGAAAAAGTAGAAATGTTCGAAACTCCGAACGTTTCTATCCTTGTGACTGAACACTCTGAATGGTATAGTGTGCACGGTAAAAAAACGAAACCTTTCTTCATATCTATAGATACTGTATTAATATTTCCGATCGTGCGATGACGAGGGATATTATTTGTACGAGACAGAATGAATAGATAATTCATCTAACTGTCACGCAATGAGGTAAAAAATACTTTCCCCGCATTTTATAAAGCATAAGACGAAAACCGGCTTACCATCGAAGATTCATAAATTATATAACATCAGTTGTAAGTTACTCGTGTAAAGTATTTATGTATTGTACATTGTTTTATTCGCTGTTGCACTCGTACACGTTAGTGAATTTTATGTAATTGTATGTTACGCAAAAGTTCGACTTATTAATGTAGCTACCCACTTTGTATCATATCATCGTATCAGCATTATGTTTTTACTTTACTTTATCGATATTCGTCTGCGATTGTCAGTAGAACAAAAATGTCGGGAGAATTAACGTACAAAGATGTTTTTTCGGGTTTGAACCGCGTTAGTGTCATTGATACACTGTACAGTATCAGGCTGCTCTTTAAACCCTGATGAAGTGAGCTGTAATGTTCACGAAACGTCGATATAAAAATGACACTAACGCGGTTCAAACCCGAAAAAACATCGCGAAAGCATCAAATATCGGATGTCGGAAGAATGTTAATAAAACGGAACAGAAGACATATGTAAGTGTTACATTGTTTTTTATGAGACATTTTTTTTAAATATAATATAGTATAATATAAGTATGTTTTTTTATTAATTTTTAACACAAATCTGATTGAATTTCTCAAATATAAACGTGTCCAGAGAAGAAGAGAACTTAAAAATATATATTATATTCTTATTCTATCATTTTTTTTATTGTTTGTATTATTTTATGGTGTAATATTTTATTTATAATCTTTTCAACAAATTTACCTAAGTGTCTAAATAATAGATCAAGATTTGTAAAACGTCCTTATATAAATACTGAAGATATCTACATTATCAACATCTTATAGGAACATTTTTTTTGTAAATACCGACAGATAATAACCCGTTTTTGTCGATAATAAAGATCGATTATTTTATATATTGTCGGTTTTTAATTTACCGTCAATAGTTATATGATTACCGTTATCAAAATTACCTGGCAAAACAAAATTATTTAAAAATTTGTGTTTAACTTCTAGCTGTTTTTATTATTAGTTTTTAATAAACACATACCATCTAAAAAGTTTAAAATATATGTCACAATATCTATTACTAATAAGAAGTGTCTTCGGCAAAATCTGCCAACAGATGACGCTACTGTTAAAAAAACTTTATATGTTTATAATTTTCTTTCGTTTATTTTTCTTCATTTCTTGTATGTACATGATGTGTGTATATATATACAATATATGATGTACATGTGTATTTTGTATAAATAAATAATTTATATGGCATTATACAATAATCATTAATTATTAAATATTTTTTTTTAAAGTGCATTTATAATTAAAATTTCTTTTATATATATATATATATGTATATATAAAAGTGTTTTGCGCGCGTGAAGTATTTCCAGGTAAATTACATAATTATTAGGTTTTTAGTGTAAAAGCGATATATTTGTACATTAGAAATTTATCTATATTAAAGTTAAATTTTGATACTTACACATGCATATACACATTATTTTATTGTTTTTAAATATATATTTATATTAACAAATAATATAGATACCGTGTATAAGACCTCAGATATTGAATCAATTGTGTTTTATTTAGATCGAGATTTGTTATCCATGACATAATCTCATACTTCACGTTTACGAGATGGACCGTGGTCGTGTGAAATTCCAATGAGAGGCCGAAGATGAAGCGGAACCCAAGAGGCGAAGGGGAGCGGATCTGATCTTGCCGAAAGGGTCGGTTGTCAACGTTACAATATAGGGTCTATCCTTATCTGCGAAATACAGGCAATGTCTCCCCGCTCTCTCCTGGTGCTTGATGTCCCTCGTGTTCGTTGTCCTAAGTCCAGAAGAGAAGAGTGAACAGAACACGCCATGATGAATCGGCCATATTGCCCTGGACTGTTCTCGAAAGAGGGTTAATCCTACTGTGCATCACTCTTTCGCCACGTTATAATATTCTCACGTAAGTGTATATTCTCACGCTTCTTCTCGCTGAATAAAGTTTTGCGATAAAAAGATAAAAAATTAAAATCAATATGACAAGCAACTTCAAATCTATTTTTTCATTAAACAATCTCGAAATGAGTGTTTTGCAACATTTATACAGAAAAGGATATTATCATTCACAACATCTCACCGATGAGAGAATAAAAATAAACCTTATCAGTAGCAATGTGGACGATCTCGCATAGTAACTAATTCCGAGAATATCTTCCACATATTCTCGAGTCATGCTTTGGCATCAGAGGTTGCACCCGACGGATTTCGAATTTGTCCGTACTGTGCGGCACATATAGAGTGACTCAAAAATATCGATTTATTGTGTTATATTACATACAAAGGAGTGATTTGTGTTCTTTTTTTTTTCTTAACAAAATTTACCTTCCAACAAATTGGATCTATTTAAATACTCACTTGTGAGCGCAAAACGCGTGATAAAATACCGAAGTAAAATTAATAATTTTTGTTTTATTTTTTTTATTTCAAAACAGATTATATTAATTCGTATTGGATTTTTAAAAGCAAATTGTGTGTCGCAACAAAAACGTCTCAATTTTTATCAGACTTCTGACTCAGACTCGAGATCTTTGCATTCTCTTCGCGGGTCGACCACCGGGTACAATTAATGAATCCTACCGTCTGGGCCGGCTCCTGTTGTCCTTAGTGTGAACTTTACAAGACTTATATAATGCATGCGTAAGAAGAATGGACCACCCATGTAGAGAGGTCTCTCTCGACTCGGCCTCGAGTGCTCTTCGGGGTTGCGCGCGCGGACGAAGCACTCCATCAGAAGAAGTATAGTCGGCTGGACAGCATACCGGGTAGAAAATGACACCAGTCTCAAGATGCGCACGTTTCGTATCAGTCGAATCGAATCTCGAATCTTCCACGGATACAAATTGCGATTTCCCGTATTTCGCATATATATATTCGCGAGATCGGAAATATCATTCGAAACACGCTATTGTAAATTCTAATTTTCAACAAATAATATAAAAAAAAACGTATAGTACGATAGAATGATGAGAGACAAAATTATTCGAGAAAAAATGTGTATTTTCGTCTGTGAGAGAAGATTAGAAACGAAGCTTACATATTACCGCGCGATCATAATTTTTGCTGCACACACGATTTTCGAAACACGTTGTATAACGTAAACCCGTAGAAAGCACGCCTGAATAACGAGATGCGTTGCTGTTCTCTTGAGAAGACCAGCGGAGGTCGAAGATTTCAGGTCACTACGTCTCGAGAGCATAATGCATGGTAGCGAGGGAAAGAGTTGTGTAAACGAACTTTCATGAACTTCCGAAAGTCGTCGCTTTTTCACATCTGCCCCGTCGTCGTCGTCGTCGTCGTCGTCGTCGTCGTCGTCGTCGTTTCCATTCTCGGCACGATTCTTTTGTGCGCTCTCGCGCGCGAGACGCGTGCAGCTCGTTCAAATAACACACACGGTATTGACCGCGGGAGTTTATAAATTCACAATAATAGAAAGGGGCGTAAAAAAAAAAAAAAAAAACAGGAACGCGAGGACGTCTTTTGATAAATCCAATTATTAGTTAGAACGATAAAATTGTTTCCGACGCACACACTTGATAAAACTCTCGTGTGTTTGTGTGGGGAGAAAAATATGTTTGGTTTGTATTATTGATATTGTTCATTATCACACGTCTCGCTTGTTTGTCGCACAATTCGTGTGACAAAAATAAACTATTATCTGATAAAATGTTACCGTGCTTTGTATTTAATCTGTGTTTTTATTAACGAAAATGGTGAATCTAACTTTTTGTCAAACAAAAAAAAGCAAAATAAAACTTTCGAATACGTGGAACCCGAAATGTGTGTGGTCTTCGGGAAGGTGTTAATCGTCCGACTCGCTACTGTGTGTTGCTTCCGACCGGCCTTTCAATTAGTACGTGCCGCACATATGTCTCGAATCATATGTGCTATAGCACTCCCGGGTGCTCTCATCAGACACACAC